AGTGGCTGTGCTGCAGGGTGAGGGTTTAGTCTTCAGGTCCGGTCCTCCACTAACTCTGCCCTGAGGCCTGGGGTCCCATGACAGGATGGGGGAGCTTGGTGACCGCCTGGCACAGGTCACAATGGCTGCTCTTAATGGGGCTCTGGGGTATTGGGTGACCACATGCAGGCTCTGCTCAGGCTGCTTCCCAGCCCCAGAGACCAACAGGCCCACAGTTGTGGTTCCCTGCAGCCAACAATCTGAAAATATTACATGGAAAATCCCAGAGAGAAAGAAGCCATGTTTTAAAGAACTTATTTCGGCGTATCATCGCAGCCACTCTATCTTGTTATTGTTGGTGCTAATCTCTCACCAGGCTCCATAGACACGTTACACTGTATTCTAGGTGCGTGTGGGGGAGAGACATGTTGCGTGTCTAGGGCTCCATGCTGTGGGTGGGGACATCGAGGGACTCGGGCTGTGGCAGGAAAGGCAGCTCAGCTGTGGGCAGGAACAGCAGTTAGAAAGGCCCCAGGGCTGGAAGAAGCCAGCATGTTGGAGGGAGAGGCGCTGGCATGATGAGCCAAGGGTCAGGGTGGAGGGTCAAGGCCAGGGCAAAGTGATGTGGGGGTGGACACTGCAGCTCCCAAGGGCCCCGTGAAGGACAGCAGGTGCTCTTCTCAGAGCCACTTCAGAGCTGCTGCTGTTTACAGCCTCCAGCTGGGACTGTGTCCCCAACACAACCACAGAGCATCACTGGTCAGGGGAAGGCTAGGCTCCTGAGGTGGCCCAGTGTCGGGCACAGGGCCTCCTGCTCCCTGACTTACATCACCACAGTACACGACTGCTTCTCCCTGAAGCTCAGCCCTGCAGGTTCCATGCCAGGTGAGGTCCCCAGAAAAACCTTTTGATGTCCTGAACCTCTTTGCTGAGCTAATCCCAGTAGGGCACAGTGGGAGGGGTGCCAGGCCAGCCCAGAACCCAGGGCCTTGAATTGTGCAGCCCGAGACTACAACTTCCCAACCCTCTCCCCACTCCTCTAACCCACATTCCTGTCCCTGCTGTCCCTCAATGACTGAAGCCTCCCGGGCCACAAGGCCTGCCTGGGGACAGAGTTTTGTTAAGGCCTGAAGTCCCCAGGCCTGGGCTACAGGGGTCAAACCAGCAGTGTCTCGTGGTGGCTTCAGGTGGTGCCTGCACAGTGCCCTGCACACCCTCACTGCCCTGGTACAAAGAGAGCTGCCTCATCCCAGGGCCCTTGGCTTCCTGTGTGCCCAGGCTTCATCTCAGTGTTCCCTCCACATGTCTCCCACCTAATGAGGGAGCTCAGGGAATGTCACCCACCAGTGCCATGCCAGGGAGGCTGGCCAGCAGCTTCGCCAGCCAGACCTGCCCTGGGAAGGGTTAATGTGGCCCCTTTGTCCCAAGGTTGCCATGGGGACAGTTCCTGTCCTCCAGGAAGCAGGAGAGCAGTTTCCTGTTTTGGAGGAGGCTCAGGGCGGTTTTCCTCCCGCCACCCACCCACTGGAGAGGGCAGGAAGCCAGCCAGGCCCCTGCTGCTGGGTGTGTGGTGGACCGGCCTGGGCCGCTTGGAGAGCCAGCCTCGGGTGCGGCCAGTGGCCACCAGCCCACCGGGCAAGGGAAAAGTGCCTGGCGGAAGAGGGTGGCCACTTCCTCCTAGACCTTGACCCCACCCAGTGATAACCAGGCAGTCCTGCCTGGCCACCCCCACCCTTCCTTGGGGAGCCAGCAGAGGTCCTGCCCACCATCCTTGTCCACCCTGCTCATGAGCACCCTTCCCACCTACGGGTCCTGCAGCCTGCCCAGCTGTGAGAGGCCACCGAGCAAAGCCTGCCTCCTCTGGGAAGCCCTCCAGCACGCATGCCAGAGTTTGGGCCTGAACTTCCACAGCTCTGCCTCCACCTCATGGGTCAGCCCAGCTCCAGGCTCGGTCCCACCACACACCAAGCGATGTCACCACACCATTCCTTCCCCCACAGACACCCACAGCTCCCACCCCCAGCAGGACGAGATCCACACTCAGACTGGTGGCTGCTGGTGCAGTTTCCCCTCTTAAGCACCAGGACTGACCACAACACGCTTCTCACGGTGCCCCTGTGTGCCACCTTCCTCTTCTCCAGGCCTCACACTGGGCGCTTCCCTGCACAGTGGCTGCCTTGCTGCCCCTGGGGAAGCCCAGCCCCGTAAGCTCCATTCGACCCCACTTCCAGCCTGACCCCGTGTCATGGTTGGCTGGCCCCGAGCCCCTGCCTCTGACACCACCATGAACTCTTCAGGGACAGCAGAGTGCGGGAGATGAGAACGACATTCATTCTGTCCCCACTTCAAGGAAGGTCCTCGCCCCCATTACAGAGTGAGAGGTGCAGAGTACCAGGGTGACAGGTACAAGGATGTCCTGAGGCCCCAGAGCCGGCCTCCTGCTCCTCTCTGGGCTCCCCCACCCACTTTAGCTAATGTCCCCTCCCCCATGTAGCCTGGGAAAACAGCATCGGCCTGGCACACCCGGTGTCACAGCTGCGACTCTCAGGCTGGGATTTCCTTTGTCGCAACCTGATGTGTCCCCAGTGATAGAAAGCAGGCCTCACAGAAAACAGAAACACGGGACCCTGCCTGGGAGAGCAATGCAGAGAGGCTGTGGGGAGGAGGGCTCTGTCTTGGCGGGAAAAGAGCTTGGATGGCCAACCCCTTCCCCATGGGGCACAGAGCTGCCCAGCCAGGCCCGCTGCTCCGCCGGGCTCCCACATGGCACCTGCCCTGCCCATGATACATGGCATGCGCCTGACAAGTGCACCTTTCCGACCCCCACTCGGACTCTGGGGCCTGAGTCCCGGGTACTGGTGAGCTCAGTTAGCACTTAGTGAGCATAGCTGATGTACTAAAGTGTAAACAGGGACGTTTACTCAGCACTTTACAGGAAGTTAGGGTGCTGAAGGGGGAGGAGAGCAGCCTGAGACCCGGGTCCCATGCCAACCCCTCTGAGCTGTGTCCTATTTTGTCTCCTTAGGAAAAACAAAGCAATGACAAGAGTCTCAACCTGGCACTGTCCCTCCACGCTAGCATGCCCTTCAGCCCAGCAAGTGAAGACTTATGCTTCGCCAAGGGGCTCTGTGCACTGTCTTCCATGCAGCCTTCACCTGGCCTCAAATCCCACCTTCCACATGGGGGAGGGGTGACACTGCCCCAGGACTTGTCCGGTCCTCGTGTCCACCACCACTGATGGCTGCAGACAAAGGATCTCTGAGCCACCCTCACCACAGCAGCCGGGTGCCAGGTTGCCAGCTTCACCTGCTAATTCTCAGATACAAGCTCAATGTTTCCAGCCAGATTTGCTTTTTGGATTAAGTTTCTGCACTTAGCCATTTGTGCCCACATCCAAATACAGATGCTCCCCACCAACACCGCTCACACCCTCCCTCCCTCCCTCGACTTTTTCATGTCAACCACCTCCACTGCTTTTGTCACCCACCATCCCCATCGCCTGGAGCGTCTCCACTGAGTGGAGCAACTCTATCTTGACTGCCAAATTCATTACCACCACCTCCATCACTGACCAGCTTCAACATTGCCGCCACCTGTCACCTTGACCACCGGCACCATTACTACATCTCCATCACCGTGACCAGCCCCACTGCCACCACCTCCGCCGACATGACCATCTCTTTCGGCTCCCTGAGCTGCACCATCTCCCCCTGCATTCCTCCGCCATCTGTCTCCTCTTCCAAGCCTGTCATCCCCACTTCACCTACTATCTCCTTGACCTCCAGCACTTCATCCACACCAGGTACGGCATGTCCTTCATCTTCATGGTGACATCTCCTACCCTCTACCTGCACCTCCTCTATGTCTACTGCTGCCTCCACCCCTTCACCCCTGTGCCGCTTCTCCATGCTTCCCCTCCATACCGTCTCTGCCAGTCCTATCACACTGCATGCATGGGTCCATAAAGCTCACTAAGAGCCTGTCTAATCAACACAGATCCACCCATAGCTTACTCTTTTGCTCCAGAGCCACATATAATCAATCCTTCACAAAAGGCTGGAGGGTGAGGACTCTGTGGTGGCTCTGAGGTGGAAAGGTCACCAGAAAGGACCAAACTTAATTCCTGATTTTACATTTGCAGAAAGTGAGATGCACCCTGGGCTGCATCAAAACTGTCAGGCTTTTCCAGCAGGCAGAGCCTCTGCACCCCTCAGAGCCCTGCTGAGCTGCCCAGGCACCTGATAGGCTTTTCTTCTGCGCCTGTCACTGTGGCAGAATCATGCCTGGACTCCCTGAGGACAGGGGCCTGGTGTGAGTTATGCTAGCACCCAGCACCTGGCCCTGCCTGAGGACTGGTCCAGTGCCCAGCATCACCACCCAGCAAGGGCTTCCTCGGCCACCCTTGTTCTGTGGGTCCCAAGGTTTATGTCAGGACTGGGATCAGTGAGCGGCCCTATCCCTCAGGTATGCACCCTGGGGGTGGCACCCGCCTGCTGCTCTTGTGTCCCCAGCCACCTCCCCTCTACAGGTCTAGTGAGGAGCCCCAGTCAGGAACAGGAGGTCCTGGGCCAATGGACCAGAAAGTGCTGGCTGGCTTGCTGAGTCCTTCAAGCTCCAACGTCCCACGGCCTAGATCCTTCCAATGTGTCCAGGACACAGCCACCCTCACCTGCTCCAGTCCTGAGGGTGCAGGAGGAAGAAAAAAACCAAAAAACCTTGCAAGGAGAAAAAGTCTGGGAGGGGAGTGTGGGCTTAGATGGGAGGACCCACCCGCAACTCCACTGCATACTGCCCCCTCCAGAGTCCCCGCAGCCCCACCGCATGCCGCCCCCACCCTGCGCCCCTCGGTCTCCACCGTGCGCTGGCCCGCCCGGTCCTGTCGATCCACACCGCCCCCCCCCGCCCCGCCCCGCCCCGCCCCGCCCCGCCCCGCCCCGCCCCGGGTCTCCACCGCCCGCCGGGTCCACGCTCTCGGGGCGGGGCGGGGCGGGGCGGGGCGGGGCGGGAGGCGGTGCTGGACTTGCTCGGACCCGGTCGCACCAGGGTCGCGGCTGCGGCGGCTGGAAGATGAACGGCGCAGGTAGGGGCGGCGCGGTTGGTCCGGGTCCCCACCTGCCGGGTCGGGGCGTCCCCGGGGCTGAGACTCGAGGTTCCCGGCGCGGCGCGCCCCACCCTCACCCTGTATCCCAGGCTCCCTGATTCCTCTCCACCCTCCCCTCTTCCAGACCCCAAGATCCAAGATTGGCGCACTCGGTGGGCATAAAATCCTCAGGCTACCCCCGCCGCGCTCGGATCCCGCACCCCAGTTCCACACCCCGATCCCGCACGGGGCGCGGATGTCAAGGGGACACCATGTTTTCACTATAGGAGTGCATCCCACTCGCCGGCCAGCACTGTTCCCGGAATTGGGGTGGGGTTCCTGGAATCGGGTGCTCGGAGCAGTCTGGCCCCCCAGGAGCGCGGTGCAGCCTACCTAGAAAATGAGGCTCCAGGAACCGCCCTGTCCTTTACCCTGTCCCGGACCCCAGCGCTAGGGGCCAGAAAGTTCCCACAGCCGTCAGCGTGCAGGGCACCCTCCAGAGCTCTCCTGGGCGCTGTCCCCACCGAGTCATTTTCTCCTGGAATTAGTGCCTCCCGACCCCAAAGCTACCCTCCAAACACATCCCGAAAGAGACAGGAAGCCACCATCTTGGCTGTCCTGGGACCATATCCTGCTGGGCCGTGTGTGTGTGTGTGTGTGTGTGTGTGTGTGTGTGTGTGTGTGTGTGTGGTGAGTTGTTTCTTTTTAAAAATTGTTTTACTGAAAACAAGCCATTGTCTCGGGGAGGGGGGGTGAGACAGGACTTTGGGGCCAGCCACCTGACAAAGGGCGAGGGCCCAGCCTGGTGTAGACTCCAGGGTTGGGGCACAGGGCAGCACCAGTGCGCCCCTTTGTGGACCAGGGTCGCAGCACCAGCCAGCCCTGCTAGGGAAGGTCCCTCCTGCCTTGTGGCCCGGGAGCCCTCACTCCAAATAAAACCTACCTGATAACAATGGCGAGTCTTTCTTCGCTCCCACAGCTTCCTGCACAAGGCTTGGCCTCCCGGGACCTGGGACACAGGAGTCCTGGGGACCTGGCAGGTTTGGTCGGAGGCAGCCTCAGCTATTGGGTGCAAGGGTATAGGGTCCTCTGTTTGTCCCAGGCTCCTTTTTAAGACTTGTGGGTGCCACGCTCTGAACTTCCTAGTCATGTGGCTCAGTGGTTCACAGACTCTGTGGCATTAGTCTTAGAGTCACCATGCATGCAGGTACAAGGGCTTGAGCACGTTGCCTAACCGCTGTGCTTCAGCTTCTTTATCCAAAAAATGGGGATCCTTGTTGATGAGCTCTTGTGATGAAGCAGCAAAAGCATACCAGGTGCCAAGGGCCATGTCTGTCACCAGCAGCAAGCCCAGGTTTATCAGGTGCTGTTACTCATCAGATGCTGTTACCAAGTGTCCTGTCAGATCCACTCTAATGAGTTCAGTCAGATGGTGTCTTAGTTACTTTTCTGGCTATTGAGACAAAATACCCAACACCCAAAGTTGAAGGAGGAAGGTTTATTTTGGCTCACAGTTTGTAAGGTTTCAGTTCATAGTTGGCTGGCTCCAAGGCAGGGTGGCATGGCAGAGGGGCATCGCAGAGCAGGCAGGCAGAAGGCAGCAAGTGACAAGCCCTCTTTCTGTCCCTTATATTTTATCCAGGCTACCCACCCTTAGGCCAGGTAGCACTCATACTCAGGGCAGGGCATCCTTAATCCTGGGGAGAATTATGTCAATCCAATCAGTGGACTGATTTAGTATTCACACACTCTTGATTCCAGCATCACACACCCTAGATCCAGCCACTTCCAAAAAGCCCCACCTATAACCGCCTGAGGCTTTAGGAGGACATCTGGACTCAAACCATAACAGATGGAGGTGAGGGCTGTCATTGGGCCATTCCATAGATGGGACACTTGATTTTTTTTTTTTTGAGACAGGATCTCACTGTGCAGTTCAGGCTGGCCTTGAACTCATGGTGTAGCCCAGGCTGACGTTCAACTCTAAGCAATCCACCTGCCTCAGCCTCCTGAGTGCTGGGATTATAGATGTGGGCCACCACACCCAGCAGTACCAGATTTTTATGGTCAGTGGCCTAAGGAGGGTGTGAGACAGGCTGGAGAGCATAGTAGGTACACAGGAAATACTTGCTAGTTGACTCAGTTAGGCATTTGGTGTCTGCTATTTCCTCTGGACTTCTCATTGCTCCTGGTGAAAAAGGAAACATTGCCTACATTTCACCGAGAAGGAGACTGAGGCTCCCACAGGCAGCGCAAGGTGCCCAGGTCACACAGCCGCCGTGTGGCAGGCAGGCTTGGTGCCCAGGCTGTGCTGAGCTGGCTTGGCTCTCTGTGCTGCCTGCCATCTTCCCTGTCATGGGTCGAAGGAGTCACCAGGGTTGGCTTGGACACTCTAGCGCATGCCAGGAGTGATCGTTAAATCAAGATGCGAGTGGCAGGTGAAATTGGAAGGTGATTACTCGAGCAGCATATGGATGGGATAGTGGGGTGGGAGCACACGGTGAGCATTGGCTGGGATGGACTTGGGGACATTGAAAGGAGAGCCGAGAGTCTAAAGAGTGTCACCAGCTCAGCAGAGCCCACTGACTGTTTGACCCGTTCCTTCACTCTGCACATGGGGAAGTTGAGGCTCTGAGAGGGGAGGGGCTTACTGAAGTCACACTCCAGCTGAGGGCAGAGCCAGGAGGAGTGCTCAGGACTCCAAACTCCCTGTCCAGGGCTCCCCCCACCCCCCGAACCTCATCTAATTGAGCTTTCGAAGGAGCAAGCGGGAATGTGTGACAAGCCATTTAATTAATGTGGGAACAGCAAATATAAACTGGTAGCAGAGAGCTGGTGGGGGATGCTGTCTGTCTCCAGGGGCCATTAAAAATGTCTTCCTCCCGTCACCACGGCTCCCACATCCCTGGTTATCTCTTGGCACCGTGGCTGAAGGGTGTTGCCGTCCGAGTCACCGAGCATACCACGTTGCCACGAGGCCCTAGGCATGGACACTGAGGCTGAGCATGGCGGCCTTAGGGGAGAGGAGTGTACACCACAGTGGGAGCTCTGGAGAGCAGAGTCCCAGCTCCGCCGTGCTGGGCTATGCTGTCACCACTGGCCCATGAGGCCCAGCCTGTGGGCTCAAGGGCCTCTGCACATGCTGTCCCCCCAGGGACGCTCTGCCCAGCCTCCACCGCTGTGGAGACCCTTTCTTCAGGCATCTGGCTCCTTCTGGGCTGGAAACTGTCACCTGCTCTCTCCCAGTTTCCCCTGCACCCTGGCCAGAGCTGCTGGGCTCCCTTGCCCACTGTATTCTCTGTAAGCACGGGCTATGCTGACATTGCTCTGGTCCACCTTCGCCAGCTACACGTTGGACCCGAACCCAGGGCCATGAGCATCTGCACCTTCAACTCGGGCCAGCGCCCATTTTGGGCACCCTTTACCCAACGTCACCTGTCCAGCATTCCCCATCCTCCACCTGGCCCAGCTCCTGTCACTTCCTGGGGCTCCTGTAACAGCCTCTTGCCTCCTTGCTCACTGCACTGTGATTTAAGGGTATAGCCAGAGTCCTGCTTGAGCCCAGCATGCTGCATCATTCTGGGGTCCCCACCAGCACTCCCCAAGGCCCTCAGTCTGGCCTTGCTGGCCTCAGCAACCTTGGATGCTCAGCACCTGGCTTCTCTTGCTTCTCACCTTCCTCAGTCCCCTCTCAGCGAGGCCGTCCTGGTCATGCTGTTGACAGTCACACCCTGTCCCTTCTGACCTCCTCGTCATCTGACTCTATGGTGACTGACTAACCCCACTGCCTCCCCAGAAGATCTTGATTTCCTCTTGCTGATGCATCCAAGGAGTCCGAGGAGGGCCTGGTACACTGCAGGCACTCAACCCTAGTTTCTTTACCAGAACTGGACTGACAGAAACTGAGAGGCAGCACATTGAATCAGTGACTTGGCCCACAGCCTGCACATGGCCTGAGCCCTGGACCCAGCCTCGAAATTCTTAGCTGTCTGTCCCAGCTTCTCAGGCCTCAGTTTCCCTTTCTGACTCATTAGACACCAGGACCCCTGAGTGTTCATAAAGGAAGCCTCTAGAACAGAGGCGGAAGAGGGTCGGAGCTGGACAGGGAAGCAGGGACCTTGATCCAAACCCGGCTGCCCCTGAGCCAGCTCCTGCCCCCCCCCAGGCCTTCCCCACCCTGTTTCTTGACTTCAGGGCTCCAGAGCTGAATGCCAAGGGCCATGGTCCTCACGCTCCCACAGGACCCGAGGATCAGTCGCTCTGCTGGATGGAGGGTGGGGGTGGTGCTGAGCAGCCAGGTGACAGTCATTTTTCACATCCTGTTGGTTCCTTGGCCACATCCCGTGGCGCCCGCGTGAAATGCCACCTGTGAAGATGAGGAACAAGGGCCTCCACCCTGGAGAATAATCTCACACAGCCCATGCCTCCCACCCATGGTGGGCAGCAGGGAGTCAGACCCGCATTCTGTTTCCAGCAGCTTGAGTCGCTGGTCCTCTGTGAGCACCTCCAGGTCAGCACATTAATTCATTTATTGATTGATTTTTATTTTTCTGAGTCAAGGTCTTGCCATGTAGTCCAGGCTGGACATAAACTCACTGTGTAGCCCAGCTTGGCCTTGAACTCACAGCAATCCTACTGCCTCAGCCTCCTAAGTGCTGGAATCACATGGTGTGCCACCATGCCCAGCTGGTGCCTTTAATGTGTGTTCTTTTATCTTCACAACAAGCTGTGGCAGGGAGCTGCCAGATTGTACCCATTTTGCAGGTGAGGAAACTGAGGCTCAAATCTGCAGCTTCTAATAAGGGGCCCAGCCTCCAAAGGCCTGCTCTGCTGCTCCACACTGCCTGGCTGCTGGAGAACGTCTTGTTCAAGCTCCAAATGTTTGTTTTCTCCTGATGCTACACAGATGTTCTTGACTGGCATGGAGACAGCTGGATGGGCCTGACTTCCTCACAGATTCTGGGCTGACATTTGGTTGTCAGGCACCCTGGCCAGTACCCATGGGGCAGATGTCAGGTGGCTAGAAGTCTGCTCGGCTTCACCTCAGCATCCTGAGAGCTGGGCTGCTCCTGCTCCCCACTGTCAGGTGCCACATCCTGCAGCTCGGGCATTCCCGCCCCAACTACCTCCCTGCACCCCTGCCGCTTGGCACACACAGACACCACGTCCTTAGAGGGCCATGTGAGGCCCGGACAACCCAGTGGTGCTATGAGGCTGGCTGGTACTGCTGGAGTCCCCAGCGTGTGGCCAATGTGAGCAGGACGTGCCGCTAACGTAAAGCACACTGTGGCTCCAGTCTTGGTCCAACTGAGGGACACAAATGCCTCATTAATCAGTGTAGGTGCTGATGATAGGTGCCTCTCAACCCCCGAGGGAGGAGAGCCCCCAAAACCCATGGAGAGCTGGAAATACTGCACATTGAGAACACTCTCCGCGCGCCTGGCCTGCTGAGCCCAGCTCCACGAACATGCTCAGAAAGCCTACACTTGCCTGCATCTGGGCAAAATCCCCTAACACGAAGCCTGTTTCTAAAATAAAGTGTGGAACATAGTGTGTAGCTTACAGAATTCCACACCAGAGTAAAAAGCAGCGTAAAGTGAAAGATATTAAGTTGACCCAGGTATGCACAGTCCAAACATACTGTCTCAGCACTGGGGAGGCTGAGGCAGGAGACTTTCCATCTGCAGAGCCTCTGGTCACTGCCACGTGTGTCATCTGCACCTCGTCCTCCCATTCGCAGTGGCTCTGTGACCCACAGGGGAGGGGTGTCTTGGGCCTCTCCACACCAGCCAGTGCCACCTCACCCCTCTGGGACAGCTGTGTGCCCTACCATAAACGCAGACATGTTGGGGGGGCCCGGCCTGGAAGCCTGAGGGCCCAGGTGTGGCCTCACAGGACGTGGGCCTGTGCCGTCAGACCTGTGCGTGACCAGGTCGTGTGCCCACGCTGGGCATGCCGTCATGGGCATCCGTGGCTGCAAAGGCAGTGACTGCAAGCTCCACCCTCGAGGGGTACAGGGGTGGTCTCCAGTCCCTGTGAAAGTGGTGACTGGGCACTGTGGAAGAGCAGGTTTCACCCCTTGGTTTTCACTACCGGCTGGGATAGGAGCAAGGTCTGCACACTCTTGTTTGTTGAATGACTTTAGGAGTTAGGGGAAGCTAAGCTTCAGACAAAATGTGAGTGATGGGTCACAGCAGCGGGGACTTCGTGGAAATCTGGCTCACTGGATTTCTCTCTCTTTTTCTGTTTCACCCAGCAGATTCTCCCAAGCCTCCTGTTGCTCCCAAGCCAAAGACAGCAGTTCCCAAGTTCCCTGCCTCTCCCAGGCCAGAGGGTCTGCACAGCCCCGGCCCCATGTCCCGGGGCCCCAAGCCACCCCTGGCACCCAAGCCCAGGCTGGCGGGCCCCATGGAGTGCAGGCCTGGGGCACACATGAACCACCGGCTCTCCAAGTGCAGCAATGGCCAGCTGCCATGCGAGGCCAGGGGCTCCCCCAACCCCGAGTGCTCCGGGTATGAGACAGATGAGGACAGCTTCCCGGGACCCCAGGCTGCACCAGGAGAGGACGCAGCTGAGGACACAGGCAGTGCAGGGGAGGAGGCCTGTGTGGACGGAGGCACCGAGGACACAGGGGACAGCTGGGACCTGACACCCCCAGCTGGAGAAGGAAAGGAAGGCCCTGGAGATGAGGAGGAGGATGGCAGCCACAACTCGGGATCAGGTGCGCTGCTGCCCACGGGTGAGGAGGAGGAGGAGCCAGAGGGAAGACTTGGCCTGTGTGACCTGGAGGACGGCCAGCATGAGGCCCCTGGGACCCACAAGGACCCCTGTGAGGAGCCTGGGCTGCCTGGGGACACTGCAGAAGTGGAAGAGGATGGAGAGGAGAGCCGTGGCCACGCAGAGCTGGACAGTGGACAGGATGAGGACAAGGCCAGTGAGGAGCTTCCTGAGAGTGAGGAGCCCCCTGAGTGTGAGGAGCCCCCTGAGAGTGAGGAGCCCCCTGAGAGTGAGGAGTCCCCTGAGTGTGAGGAGTCCCCTGAGTGTGAGGAGTCTCCTGAGTATGAAGAGCCTTCTGACCATGAAGAGCTCCCTGAGTGTGAGGAGCTCCCCAAAAATGAGGAGCCCTCTGAGTGTGAGGAGCTGACTACCGGTTCCCAAGAGCCCATGCCAGCTGCAGAGGAACTCGCTGTCCCCGAGGAGCAGAGGAAGGACATACAGGCTGACCAGGATGAGCCTGATGGGATGGCCGCCCAGGATGGGGAAGGCCCTGGAGCCAGTAAGGACCCCGTGCCAGCTGAGGCCCCTGAGGACAGCTGCCAGATCATTCCTTTTGAGAGCACCAGTGTGGAGGACCTGGTGGCATCCCTCCCTGGGAGCCCCTACAAGCTCTTTCCTACCGAAAGCACCTCCTTCTGTGGTGACAGCTGTCTCCCTGTCATGCCAGAGGGCGGCTTGGAATTGGAGCCACAGCCTGAATGGGGCATCCCCAGCACAGGGACTGCAAGTGGCCAGCGAGGTGGAGCTGGGGAGGTACCTGCTGTCCCCGACGTGGGTGTCCTGCCGGAGGACAAGGATGACCCCTGCATGACAGAGTTGGAGGAAGACGCAGCCTGTGACTCTGAGGGTGGCCTGGTGCCAGGGGACAGAAGGAACGTCGTCCCCTGGGCCTGGCCCCACTCTGGGAAGGTGGCCGGCTGTGTTCCAGAGACGGTCCCCGAAGAGTCAGGCCCTGAAGCTGGGTCCTTGGCCATGGGTGTCGCCAAGGAGGCGGGAAGGCCAGTGCTGCCCTCAGAGGCCAGCTGGGCCCTGCAGCCACGCTCCTTCTCAGTGGAGGGTCGAGAGCCGCCAGGGGCTGTGAGCCGGGAGCCCCAGGGCACCGGGCTAGACCTGCGCCGCATGAAGAGGAAGGAGGACAACCTGTCGCTGCCCTGTGTGATAAGCTCCTCCGGCAGCTTCTCCCAGAGCAAGTGCCTGCCATCGAGCGGCACCTCGACACCCTGCTCGCTGGTGGATATCCCTCCACCCTTCGACCTGGCCTGTGTCACCAAAAGGCCGGTTACCAAGAGCTTCCCATCACTGCTGCTGGACAGCGAGGCCCCAGACAAGGCCACCAAGAAGAAAAAGTCATCCTTCAAGCGCTTCCTGGCACTGACCTTCCGGAGGAAGGCAGACAGCAAGGTGCATGGGGATGCTGGCCTGACCTCCTCCCGGTCCTCATCTGAGTCCAGCTACCACGGGCCCTGCCGCCTCCTGGACGGTGACCGTCGGAGCCTGGGCAGCTCCCCGCAGCTCAGAGCCCGGGTCGGAAATCTTCGGGCTCCTGAGTCACCTGTGTCGCTGCTCTTCTCCAGGGATGGCAAGAGGAGGGGCATCCCCTTCAGCAGGACAGTGTCTAGGGTGGAGTCCTTCGAGGACCGCTCACGGCCGCCCTTCCTGCCATTGCCACTGACCAAGCCGCGCTCCATCTCCTTCCCCAACGCCGACACGTCTGACTATGAGAACATCCCCGCCCTGAGCTCCGACTATGAGAACATCCAGCTTCCACCTCGGAGGCTGGCCAGGCCCGGCACGTTCACCAAGCTCTTCGAGGAGCAGAGCCGGGCCCTGTCAGCTGCCAACGAGAACGATGGCTATGTGGACATGAGCAGCTTCAGCGCCTTTGACATCAGGCCGCAGGGCACAGAGCCTGAGGCCGAGAGGTACGTCATTCCACCCACCACGCATGGTCTTGCAGGGCTTTCCCTGCCTGAGCCTCACTTAGGCCACATGCCAGAGCATCTGATGCCAGGGTAGATTTTCTATGTGAAAGTGGTATATACAAACGCCATATTTCATGCAAGTGCGATTTTTGGTTGTTTCTTGAGGTAGGGTTTTGCTATGTAGCCCGGGCTGGCCTTGAACTCACTATGTAGCCCAGGTAGCCTCGACCTTGCAGCATTCCTCCTGCCTCAGCCTTCCAGGAACTGGGATGACAGGTGTGTGCCACCATGCCTGGCTGCAGATGAGATTTTCAGAGCATAGCTCATGTGCTCAGTGGATGCTTGGCTCTTTGTCTTTGGGAAAGTACCTGAGAGAAGGTTCTGGAATTCTGCCAAAGTAGACACCTCCTCCCTGGGAGCTGGCCCAGGTTGACATGACACCTTCTATTGTGTCACACACAACGCATGCAGCAGAGAGGCACGGAGGGCTTCAGAGCTGGGCCCTGGGGGCTTTTTGAGCTGACTCGGCTGCTTGTCAGGGACAGGGTCGCTGTAGGGGTGCAGGACACCAAGGCACTGACGGGGGAGGCGCAGTGCCCATCCCAGCCGCAGGACCAGCACTTGCTGCTCCTGGCACAGTGGGTGCAGCCCACCTTGGACCTTTACAGTCTTTCGGGCACCTGCCCTGGACAGGGACAGGAGCCATGGAGTGATGAGGGGCTCGCCCAGGTGCCTGGGGACTCCCAAGGCTCCACAGGTGTGTTGGTGAGGAGGACCCAAGACCAGCACTGCCGTGGCTGCAGGGTAAACGACGTGGGGTTGGCCTGGCTCCGTCTCTCTGCCCCAAGTTCAGGCAAGGGCACCAACCGCTCCTCCCGGGACTAAAGGCCATGTTTGGCTGAGGGCCTATGTGGCTTGGAGCTGTGGATCTGGGCAAGCTGGAGAGGCAAGAGCCACCACACTGGGGACTCTGGCAGGGTCTGGAGAGATCTGTGTATGGTGAAAACAGCACCCAGCTCTGCAGTGGCCACACCTCATGCTGCGACCCAGAGGACACGCAGCCACACCCCAGCCTTGCGCTGGTGGCCCCTGGGTCTGTGCTTGTCATTCCCAAGCCATGGGGGACTCGGTGTGAGGCCCAGGCTGTCCCCTGTGATGCCCTTTTCCCCATGCTGGCTCTACCCTCTCGTCTCATCTTCTGGATAATGAACGGCCTTGAAAAAGGGGAATCACCTACTATAGAGTCACAGGACTTCACAGCTGAAGGGATTGTCCAACATCATTCAGTCTTCCTATGGAGGAGGAATATGGGGCATGGAGGAAGTTAGGACTCAGATTTCTTAGCTTTTCATTCATGAACTTGCAGTGAATTACATCAAAGGAGGCCAGGTCTGGTTGTGCAGACCTGTGTACTATACAACCCCAAGGGCAACTCCTTCCACCCTTCTCTTTATCACTTTCCCATTAGTGGGACAAAACACCCGACACCCACAACCTATTGGAGGAGAGGGTTACTTGGGCTCACAGCTTCAGTGGGTTCTGTCTATGGTCAGCTGGCTCCAAGGCAGGAACAGCATGGTGGAGGAAAGCTGCTCATGTCATGGCAGCCAGAAAGCAGAGAGAACGGAGGAGCTGGGGGGAGAAGGCCATGCCCCCCGGACTGTCTCTAAGCAGTCCCCCCCACTTGGGAACAGCAGTCAGCCAAGAAACTGTGGGTGCTGTGTCTGGCCCTCTCTGGCTCCAATTGTGTCTTCCATTTGCTCTCAGCTGAGGCCACAGTGCCCAGATGCAGCTGGGTATGGTGATGCACAGCTTTATTTTATCGAAGCGCTCTGGGAGACTAAGGCAGGAGCTCTCAAGTTCCAGCCCAGCCCAGGCAACTTAGTGAGTTAGCAAGTATTAAAAAGAAGAAAATTAAGCCAGCGCTCCTGCTCCACTCTGAGGCTGTTTTGCCGACAGCCAAGCTAACTGGGAAAGACCGGAGAGAGCCGTGTCTTGGTACAGCAGGCGGGGCAAAGCATCCTTCTGCTTGCTCGTAGGCTGGGGGAAGGAAGTCCCTGGAAGGCAGGCAGGAGCAGGTCTGGGAAGCAAGGCGTAGCTGGGGGCTCTGTGCTCACCTGCATAGGATGGTGCTGTGAGGCTGGGGCTGCACCCACAGGTGCCAGGTGGGCGGGTGAGGTTCCTTTCTCCTTCCTGCCTCCAAGGGTCAGACAGGAGCCAAAGTCAGCCTCAACAGCCCTGGAGCCAGAGCCTGGGTCCCATGCATCCCTCAGACTTTAGGCAGGGCTGGCTGCATCTGCCTCTCTGAGATGCACATGGCCTGCGCTTTCCCACCACACCGCTCCTGTCACACTCTGCTGGGTGTCTTTCTTTAAGTCAGCCATCTCTTGACTTAAAAGCACACAAAGGAAACTTCATGTCCATATGGGAAAATGGAATAGCAGTGTCAGTCACCATAAGCAGAAGGCACTTGGGAAAATAAGGTACAGAGAAAAATGGAGCAGTACGGCCACAGCAGGCTTGGGGTGAGCAAATGCTGGCTGAATTCTCTGGTGATCTTGAAGATGTCCAGATCCTCTGGACTCTCTGCCCCACCCCATCAGAGGGCTCCAGGAGGAAAAGGACATTTAAACGCAAGTCCCTTCCCATGGAACAGAACCTGAGAGCCCTTAGGGACACCTCGTATGGGGGCAGGCAGCTCAGGGGCTAATAGATCAAGTTTCTTCTCTGTAGTTTCTTCCTTCCAGATATGGGTGCATAGATAGGAGCATTTCAGTAGCTACAATATTAATAATCTTTTATTTTAAAAATCAATCTGGGCATGGTGATGCCTACCTGTCATCCCAGCACTCAGGAGACTGAGGCAGGAGGATCTCTGTGAGTTCAAGGCCAGCCTGGGCTCCATAGTGAGTTCAGGGCCAACCTGGATTACATAGCAAGACTCTGTCTCAAAAAAAAAATTGTACAAATTGTTATCTGTGTGCATTTTACATGGTGCACAAAAACCAAAAAACCAAAAAAATTTTGTTATCTTTTAATTTAAAATGCACCCTCAAATGCTCTTATTTTCCCTAAATTGACCTTTATACAAAAAAAAAGTTTTTGGCAGAGATCTAGCTTAGCACCCTCACTTTGCACACTGGAGCTAGGTGTTCCTCATGGGGAGGGGTTGGCCTTCGCTCTAATTATCTAGGGGACCTGGCAGGTTGGCTGCCTGCTGGAAGCCAGAGAGGAGCCAGGCTTGGTCAGCACCTGTGGGCCACACGGCCTGGGCCCTCAGCACCGCACACATAGTGAACCCCTAGGTCTTACAGGTACTTCGAGAACCTTCCCTGACCTTGCCTGTCCTGCAGCCAGTCAGTCTGGTGATCAGCAGGGACCCTGAACTCCTGCTGCTTTCTTCTGAATCCTCAGATGCCCTGGCAAGTGCAGAGTCCCCAGCAATGCCCCTGCTGCCGTCCCGGTCATTAATGTGTGTCATCCTGACACACCTGCGCGCTGTCATCCTCGAAGGTGACCAGGTGCTCATGGCCAGGTGCAGAGGCCTGGGACAGTGACTGCCTCTCTGCGTGTGCCTCTGCGTCACCACGGGTAAACGGCCGTGACAGTCATCCTGCCTTGTGTTGTTGAGACTCATGAGTCAGGACAGCAAGTGAGGGGGGCAGCCATGAGCGTCAGCTGGCATCAGGGTGCAATCGGGGTCAGTGGGTATAGGGCTTGATTGTGGGGACAGAGTCTGGGAGGGAGAATGTGGCCCCTTGCGCTGTAGAGACAGCTCTCTGTCTCTATCTCTCTGTTTCTGTTTCTATCTCTGTCTGTCTCTCTCTGCCTGTGTCTGTGTCTCTGGGTCTCTGGGTCTCTGTCTGTGTCCAGTGAGTGGCCAGACTAGAACTCAAGCCCAGCTGCCTCTCTGTCCAACATGGTCTCCCTGACACCCTCTTCCATGGCAGGGGACATCGCATTATGTGAATGTCTTCCTGGCAGGGTTAGGGGTGGGGACACAGCACCCCAATGTGTTGTGTGGCCTTTGATTCGAGGGCTCAAGCGGACACAGGAAGATGTGTCCCTCTGTCCAGCTGCCTCAGGAAACACCGTGTTTTCTGAAGCCATCCCCTGTGTAGACAGTGAGACCCTCTCTTGCTTCTCATTAAGTGTAGACGGTGCAGCAGGAAACATTCATGTTCACCGTGGAAGGAGGTGACCTGTGGCCGGAGCACGAGGCTTCCATGCACACATGTAGGGCCCAGCCAGGTCCCCTGTGGCCTGATCCCCTGGGCAGGATCCTCTGTCCAGGTTGCAGCGTCAGAGCCAGGTGTCTGTCTGTAGCAGCCCGGAGCTGTCCTGTTATTATTCCGTTTGTGACAAATGAACTCCTGCAGAGCTCTCATTAAGCCTCTCGGAGAGGACCTGGAGCCGCCATAAAGATGATTGTGATCTCAGCAGTGTCACCCCAGACGTGTACAGCTGTGCGTCTTGTTGAAATTGAGTGATGAGAAAGTTTGGTTTTTAATTTTCTCACTTAAAATAAGACCATCTGCAGCTGTTTCTCTTAGCAATAATTTTTAATTAAATCCCATAAAATGCACGAGGAAGGACCCTAATAAGCCATGTTAGGAATACTCACAGCTACACTGCCTGCCCGAGCTGTGGGGAGACCGACAACCAATTCGTTTTTTTTTTAACTCGCAGAGCTGTGAGGGGACAGAGAAATCCCAATGACGTGTTTTGTTTGTTTGTTTGTTTGTTTGTTTTGTTGTGGTTTTTTTTGGTACCGGGGATCAAACTTGGGACCTTGCGCTTGCGAGGCAGGCGCCGGAACCACTGAGCTAAATCCCCAGCCCCCAGTGGTATGTTAATCACGAGAGGTTTCACCTCTACAGAATCAGGGTTCCCTGTGGGAGGTGAAGCCAATTCTTGCTAATAGAAGGTGGCCTGGCTAAAGGCCCTCGGGGACACTCGGAGACACGCAGCACAGGTCCCCACAGAGGGGCAGGTGGCTT